TGTGTACAAAATTAAAAGCAAAAAAAAAACATAAACGGTCATCATCACAGCAAGAATTATCCACGAAAAACAAACAATGGACAAGACAAAACGACGAGTAAAAAGGTTCTTCAATGTTTTAATCGGGAAAATTAAATTTGACTATAATTAATTTGTTTGAAACAATGATGACGACATTTGATGGAATTTCGAAGAACCGAAACGAAGCGCAATGCCTTCAATTAATATTCGTGAACGATTCTCATCTGTTCCGCTTACAGAAACATTAACAGCGCTCGTCAATGTTTGGTTCGATCATCAAACGGTGACAGTCGAATAAACTGTACGAAAGCAATTGAAAGAGAAAATTAATGTTCTCAGTCATACACACATTTGTCGACTACGACAATTTATTTGTTGAGAATTTTTTTTTCGGATTGCAATTATGTCGTTAATATCATCGTTTTTCGAGTTTATGAAGACTTCACCGTAGATGGAATAGTTGAAAATTCGGTTATATTAAAATTATGTCACTTGAACGAACTGAAGCGAAACAGTCAATGGATAATTACGGTTTCGACTTTAAACTTTAGAGTCAAACTTGTTCAACGATCGTAAATGACCAGAGCAAAAAGCAAGGCAAGAAAGTGGATAGTTTCATTATGGAATAGGCGCGACAAAGAAATATTTTCTAAATTATTGATGAAAACCTTCGTCATAATCGAGGAAGAAAGAAAAAAAAGCTTCAATCCATCGATTGGAATTGATTTATACTCACGGTTTTTACAGCACATTTTCTCTCTCTCTCTCTCTCTCTCTCTCTCTCTCTCTCTCTTTCGATCGCTTTCAATTGCTATTTCGATATATGCATTGTTTGATGGCTGTAATTTCCATGTCATCCTCCATTCGATCATCTTTAAAGAAAACACCGCGAGAAATCGAAAAGATGCGCGCGACACGTTCACACACACACATATACACACGTCAACCGAGAAGAATGCCGTGATGCTTTTAAAGTCGATGACGCAGGCTAAAGATGTGACATTCAGTTGTGATGCCATGCAGATTCAATCCAATCACGCACAAAAGCGTACAAAATTCTCTTATAAATATGCCGTCATTCCGAATGGATTTCGGTTTTCATCTTTGCTTCATTTTTTTTTCGGCTGGTATTAAATGTGTTCGATTTTTATGATGACGGTCTCATGTACTTCATAAATTTGAAGTGCGCATGAAGAGTTGAGTGACAATGAAAATTTAAACGATTTCTTTTTTTTCATTATTTGTTGTTGTTTGCACGAGTATGTCAATCTTGCGGCGTGTGTGTGATTCGAAGAAATATACCGATTTCAGTGCGTTGAAAAGTGAATTGTCATAGTTGATGTTATTAACACGAATAGCCTTCAGAGTATTTTCTTTGACCAAGTCACTTATTTTTCTTCCGCAATTCAATTCCTCCCGATCAACTACGCTATTTAATGGTTGTGATCATTTGTCCTCTTGCCCGCAGGTGAGAATTTGATGCGGTTAACAAAACAAAACTTGTCAAAGTGATCATGTCGCACACGAGATTGATTCGACGGAAAATCAAACCAAATGCTCCCAATGAAACGCAATTTAAATTTTGACTCCAGTGTGATCGGCTATTTCAATGGCACAGATGAGAATGATCAAATCACACACAAATTTTCCATTCAATCCGAAATATCAGCGATTCGGGTGACTATATTTGAATTTTGGTTGTCAACAATGTCGATGATAGAAGAGAAAAAAAAACGCGAACAATTGATACGTTTAAATGTCGTGGACGGCTGTTTTTGCGATTTAACTCAAGTTGAACGGGTGGAAAAATACCTCGTCATCCATTTTAGTCGCTTTATTTGATTGAACTTCATTTCGCTTTTTTTTCCTGCTGAATCAACTCCAAATTGTTATGCCAAGCAAAAGAAAAAAAATCTATTGATCTCTTGATTTAATACGCTTGCTCTTGTGATGGAACACAATAAGTTTGGAATAATGAAAAAAAGACAACATTTTCGGTGTTTGTTTACATGTGGTTGTCAAACGACGTGATATTTTTTCTTGAAGAGTGATTTGCACAGAGTTTACGAATTAAAGTGAAGGTCATTTGATGCACGATCTGTTTGCACAATTGAAATCATTGGCCATTTGGCACCACTGTCTTTAGTGTATGTCTACGGCATTTGAATGCATGAACTTAAGGCCTTTTTTACATTGACATTTCGACGGATCTGCGGCTTTTACCGCGAGTCGCAACCAATGCGCGATTTCCTAAAACGTAATTCGATGCTATCAACCAAAAACCGAAAAGGCTGGCTAATATTCCAAGACGCGTATGTTACACATAACATTTGACAATTTAACTGTCCGTAATATCCACGTATGCGATTCGAATTCCAATTCTTCCTGTTTCAAGGAAATGGTCCATAATTAACGACTTGAACGCGAATCAAAAGTGTCATACTGTGGTATAGACTCCATTTACCCATTTGCTGGTCGGTCGCGCGGTATATAATTAAACAATGGCCATTGCCGATCGTAATCTGTGACATATTCTCATAGTTCTCTGCTGGCATTCGGTCATGGTACACATTTGACGTTGCCATACAGATCGGAAAAAAAAGACAATGAAATAGGTAATTTGCTTTGATTATGCTAATGATCGTTCGTCGGTTAAGTCGTTTCATTTTGTGGACACTTCATTCTGTTTGGATTTTTTTACGTTGAGTTATTTCTTTTTTTCACCCGAGATGCTTTGAAACTTTGTCGAAGAGGCGAAGCACACATACACAACATCTCGAATCAATCAGTTGGTTAATGAGTCACGGTTTGGTTTTTTCCCCTCATTTCGGTGTGCGGTGTGACCGTTTGAATTTGAAGTGTAGTCAGGCAAAATAATTGAATACGAGTACGTTGAGTATGTAGCCGCCGGCAATATTTCGGTCTCAATTAAAGTTAATTACATTCTCATGAAATTGTTTGTCTTTCTTCTTTGCATGATTTTTGTCTCCTCAGCCCGACAATTCTCGAATTGGCAGTTCGTTTGTAAACGCGCGCACACACACACACACATTTTTCTCACCAATTGACTGTCCACACACAATCAGTCGGTTAAAATTGAGAAATCGAAGATGTGTTTGCATTTTGAAAATGGCTTTCGTCGGCCCGAGCTAATCGACATGACGTTGCGTCGAAAACATTTAATCGACCATTTAATTGGTCAAACGAAGAGAAAAAAGTACGAGACGAATAGGTAAACGTGTTGTTATTACGAAGCAAATGCTTTGAATAATAAGTTAATGGGATTTTTGTTATTGACAAAGCAAGAAAAAAAACTATAACACGAAACTGATTCATAAATTTGCCCAGAAATCGTATATTTTCCGCCGTTTCACTTATTACGACGTTTAGTTGAAGAGCAAAACTGCAATTCGAATTTGAGAAAAGCGTGTGCATGAAATTGTGCATGTTTGGCGCCGACTGCTCATGCTCATTCACCTGCACCTCATACTTTTTTCGACCCAAATTTTGCGCTTCAATTATTGTTTATTCGATGCCAAACACTTTTTCTTTTCTTCCCGAATTCAAGCTCGACTCCGTTTGTCTGTGAAATCGCCATCCACAAATTAAGGATTTGCCTCATTCGCCCATTCAACATCATAAAATGCAATAATAAAAATTTTAAGACTCATGTTTTTCCTGCTCTCGAATACATATTTCTCTTTTTCATTTAACACGATCGAAATTGGACGTTTAGCTCAGTTGCTCGGGGCACAATAAAAATCAATCATCAATTCAACAACGAACTTATGTTCCAGATCGTTATATTCATTTGGATTTTATTCGATCGCACCCAATAATATTAAACCGAGCATTCGAGAGAGAGAGAGCTAAACTCACCACATGGCTTTCATGCCAACAACTATTTTTAGTTCTCAAACTAATAAATAATTAAATGGAAGCAAGTACAAGAATAGAATTCTCAACCAGAATTTCAGCCGAAAAGTTGTGTCTCTGCCGCATGGCCTTTGTCATTCTTTGTTTTCATTGCGTGAATCGAATGTCGATCTGTCTTATTTCGATCGAGTTTATTTTTTTGTGTATAATCGACAAATAGACAATGAAAATTTTAGCAAAAAATACCAAATGTTGTTTACTGACCGAATTAAACAACTGAAAGACATCATTCGATTTGAAGATATTTTTGTTTTCTTTGCTTTTGTTTACACCAACGACTTTGATTTTCCAACACTAGTCCAAAAGCCAAAAGGTGGATTTGTGATGGAGTGAACAAAAAAAAGAGTGCTATTTGAATATCGATTCGCAATTTGATAAATTACTTTTCGAAGCATAGCATTCCAATTTATTTCGATGGAAAACAAAGCCACCGAATGAGAATGTGAATTGCGCACTACGACCAAAATGTTCCACAATGGCCAGTCTGACACGCATCCAGCGACATTGACGACAACAATAGCGAGGTGCAAACAAGTGGAATGAAAAAAAGTTATACAAAAGCTTATGATCATGTTCCGAGTTTACTGGCTACGTCTGTATAATTTAAAGCAAATCGATCGACCAAGTATTTGTAGCACAGAATTAATAAGTTCACGTTGGTTCATTCATTTTATGTATGTCTTTCTGTGTCTATCACTGTGGCCATTGTTTTGTTGCTGAACTTTCAAGCAGTTCGCATGATTTGTCAACCCGAATTCATTGAAAATGCGCTATTTTTCAAGCACTGACATTTACTTATTGAACAACGTATCGATTGTGCAAGTTGTGTGGATTTTATCAAATCCACACGAATCAATGTGAACTATGACATTTTTCGACGACAGTTGAAGACAAAAAAAAACGTGTTTTTCACTGGATTAGTAACAAGAACGACACTATATTTTCCCTTTCAAAGAGAGTTTCTGTATTGTAGAATTTCAGCGATAAAAAAGACATGAATAATTTCAATGTAAGTAATATCGAATTTCTTTTCCCAATTCCAGATATTTGGCCGAATCGAATCATCAAATCAGCTTGATTGTTGCGTGTTGTTGGTGTCAAGTACAATGCAACTGATGCATCAATGTGCTACCCCTCTGAATTGATACTGAAGAAAAATAGAGAAAATAAATGAGTGGCCGACATCTAGACGCATTGTCAGCGGAACAATTCCAAAAGGCAAACCAATCCATATCGAATCTTCTATCACTGCAAAAACAAATGGTTATGTCACCAAGTAGACGGTCTTCACCACCGCAACTAGCATCACATCCGATGAATATGCACCTCAACTCATTCGCTCATTCGCAATTACATTTGACGAATCAAATGCACCAAAAATTAGCAGCCGGCTTGCCGCCAAATCATTTGAATCAATTTTTGAAAAATGCATCATCGTCGAATGGTAACCGAGGTTCAAATGACAGCACAAATAATCATCGTCATTCACCAAATGCAATGGCATCATTAGTTAGTTCATCGTCAAGCCCATTGAATCATCTACAAAATATGCAGCCGTTTGATTTTCGTTGTCTTGGCGCCGGTCTATCGGGATTTCCGCCACCATCGTTAGGAAATGCGTCCGGAAGACTCAGCCCCGATATGGAACGAATTGAGCGTCATCACTTGCAGCAAGTGGCAGCGGCACAGGCGGCGGCACGACGAAAACTGAGTGAATCAGCAAGTAGTGGAAATGACAAGGCACTGCAAAATCATGCGGCTGGCCTTATGAACATGGCAATGGCTGGGCATCATTTACCATTTCCATTGCCTCCGCAATCAAATGCACTGAATCCATTAGCAGCTAGTTTGATGGCATCGCAATTTTCCAGCCTAATGAATAATTCGGCAGCCGTGAATTTGGCTAAATCGAAAAGTTTATTGGAGCAACAACAACAACAGCAGCAACAGCAACAACAACAGCACCAGCAACAGCACCATGAATCGCGCAAAGAATCGAAAAGTGAATATCGTGAACGGAGCAGCAGACACGATGACTCGAAGCAAAATTCGAGTGCATTGAATCTGAGCCGAGATTCGGGTAGAGGAAGCCCAAAGTCGATGACATCGCAACACAATTCACGACAACGTGCACCAATTAGCATGAGTCAATCGCAAGCGAATCTGGCAGAACTTCGAAAAACACATTCACCAGCCAAACGTAATTGGGGATCGTTGCCATTGAATTTGGGCACACAATTCATAAACCCGGCCACCGGAAAGAAGCGTGTTCAGTGCAACGTTTGCCTGAAAACGTTTTGTGATAAGGGTGCGCTGAAGATCCACTTCTCGGCGGTGCATCTGCGGGAGATGCACAAGTGCACGGTTGAAGGTTGTTCGATGATGTTTAGCTCGCGACGAAGCCGAAATCGCCACAGCGCCAATCCAAATCCAAAATTACATTCACCACATTTGCGTCGAAAGATTTCGCCACACGACGGCCGCAGCGCCCAACCACATCCAATGTTGTTGCAATCGCAAGGACTATTGACACCCGGTATGCATCCATTCAATCCGTTCCCATTACTAACGCCACCACCAGATGTAAGACATTCATCGTTGGCCGGAATGGACTACAAATCGAATGCAAAGTACAACGACGATCATATGAAGAATTCGATGTCGGAGAGCAGCAGTGTGCACGACGATCTCGACGATGACGACGATGAGGATGGCATTGTTGTTGTTGGCGAAGAAGACGATCCAGATGATATGAACAAAACAAATGACTACGACAATGATTCGGTGGAAAATCATGGTGCGTATGATGAACCGGCCGATTTCAGTGTGTCAAAGCGAAAGAAAATGCCAAGTCCATCGGAAGGCGACAACAGCGGTTTTGAGAGCAACGATGATTCATTGAGCGTGGCTGATTCACACAGCAACAAAGACGATTCAAGTATTTCGCACACGAAAAACAAACGCAAACGAAAAAGCCAAAATCCAATACGATTTGCTGTGCCAATTACAAGCCACATGGACAGCATGTCTGATGAGAATGACTCGAGTGACATTAATTATGCGCGCAAATCGAAGGCACAAGATGAACCAGAGGCATTGGTGAAACGAACACGATCCGAAAGCGATGCCGAAAGCACGGGCGAAATAAAGAAACCGACAGACAACGGGGTCGATGACAAACATTCACGATCACCAAGCACAACACCACCGATTCGCGAAAACCACGACAAAGCGGAGAAAAAAGAAACCGAAGCAAATGGCCAAATCAAACCAGATGAAGAAGAGCCAATTGAGTCGAAAGATGACACCGAACCACAAAATCTAACATTGGACTTATCAAAGAAGCAAACCGACAGCGAAGATGAAAGCCCATTGATCAACGAAAATAACAATAAAATTGACAAAATTAAAAGAGAATTATCGCGGCCGCCAAGTGCATTACGTTCACCAAAGAATGACAGTGAAAACGATCACAAAATTTCCGACGAAACAAACGCAAAAAAATCATCGGAAGGGAAAAAGTCTGAACGCCATGATTCGATATTGAAGCAGTACGATTCATTGTTGAAAAATCATAATCCATATGGAAAGGGTGGTGCGGCAAATCCAATGAATTTATTCAATTCATCGATGAATTTCATGCTGAATTCGGCACCATTGAGTCCAGCCCGTTCACCATCGTATTCGCCCGAAGAGCGACGTTCACGTCACGCATACGACTCGGATGAGAATGTCGAAGAGTATGAAAATGATTTGAGTGACATTGAAATGCCAATCGATAAAGAGAACCCACGAAAGTGCACGGAATGCGGTGAAGTCTTCCCAAATCACTTCAATTTGAAAGCGCATTATCAGCAGGTGCACTTGAAATTGCTGCACAAATGCGATATTGATGGTTGTAATGCGGCATTCCCATCGAAACGAAGTCGTGATAGACACAGTTCAAACTTGAATTTACACCGTAAACTGTTGTCTACCTCATCGTCCACATCGAATAATCATCATCACAACGATGAAAATAACCAAAGCGCTGCATCGATGGCAAATTCTGCGGCGAGTCGATTGCAAACGGAATTCTTGGCACGATTGTATGCCGATTCGCATCGGCTACCGTTTAATTTGGAAGCATTGAAAAACAATTTCCCCGACATGCATCCATTTGCAGCCGCTGCAACCAATAACTTTTTAAATGGCGATTCACGATTCCCAGCTACGGCTGGACATCAGGCACCAAATCCATTTCTATTTCCGCCACTGAGCGGTTTGGCCGGTTTTCCAAACTTTTCATCATTTGCACCACATCTTCTACCTCATCCTCTGAACGGTCTGTCGTCTTTATCGCAGCAGCGTCGACAATCGTCCGATTCAAGTTCACCGTTGGCCTGTTCATCGCCACGCGAACAGGAGCGACGCACTCCAATCGATGAAAAAACACGCAACAACATCGATGCTCGCTTCTCGTGACCACCATTCGATCAAAATCCATACATGAGGTACTCTCGATGGTAGAAAAGAATAGAGCAGAACAGAAAAAAATGATTAGCGATTTCAATCTGAATTTTGAGAACAGACAATTATGAGGCATAGAGTTTAAATTCTGATGGAAAAAAGTGCAATAACATTAACGATTTAAAAATTTATAGAAATATCATCATCGAATGCATACGGTTCAAGTCAATATCACACACATTATGCGTATTTTAAGCACATTTTGAACAAATGCACCAACATTTGCTTACAAAAAAAATAATTATAATAAAGTACTTCAATACATTTTCTTTTCAATTTAAATTTACATATAAACAATAAAGGTTGCATTAAATCTTACTCGTACCGAATGTTATAATGCGATAATTAGTATAAAACACATGATTGGAAGGTGAAAGTTGAAGAATTTGTCATTTTGCAAAGAAAAGAAAAAACGTTCACCGAAAATTAATAGTAAATCGTTTGAAAACTACTTAACAAATTCAATGAATGTATATTTACATTAGATTATATGAAAAAAAGCACACAAATTTCGTTGGAATATACACACACACACACACACAAAATGCGAAGCCAAACGAAGAAAGATTACAAAGTAAAAAACATGAAATACCTTAGAAATGAAACGAATCAAGCTCTTCAATGATTATACATCTGGAGTATTATTATTCGACGTTTAAGTTTTCGAAATGAAATTTACCGTGGCGGTATTAGCAATCTTTGAGATATCGTAAACAAATTTAAAGGAAAAATGAAAAACAAATTTAGCTCTTTAATGTTAAGTACAATTGTACACAAATCAAGTAAAGAAGTATATCTGTCGAATTGTAAGCTAACGGTTAAAAAGTTAGGCCAAGTGTTGGAGTCAAATGTCGATTTGGCCAATTCAGCAAACATGATGGAAAATCTTCCAAATCGACATTTGACTCCAGCCTAGAGTATAATATGAAGGAAAAAGGAAGAAGAATTATATGACATCACCGCATCAGTATCTTGTTATTTTAAGCTCTGGAAATGAGAATTATGTATAAAATAATCTAGTGTAATGAACTGGCGAGGCTTCAATGTATCGAAACAAAATGTATCACAAAGAGAATCAAGTGATAAGTAAATGTATAAGTAATCAACAGAACATCCATAGTAATTTTTCTTCTCTATATTCAACAACAGAAAAAAAAACATTATATATTCAAATAATAAAGTATACGAAATGGATATTATGATCCAAATTGAAAATTCCATACATGCACACACACACACACTTCTTTTGAGCTCATCTTTTGACCATTGTCCATACACCATAAGTAATCTTTTTGGCAGAGAGAAATGCGCTGACTTTTGACAATTAAACATATAGCAAACATTCAACAACAGCAATGAGTAGATTCACGTTTTAAATAGATACAAATATTTAGCACAATTACAAATTGTAATAACATAACCACACATACACACACACAAGCTGGTAAAATGAACTTTGTGTCGGACAAAAAAACGAACAAATCCGATTTGATTTTTTGCTCAAACTACATTGGCTGGCGTAAGCTTTTCAATTTGGATCGAAATTTATGAATATAAAAAGAAAAAACCTACACACAAAAGAAAACATTACAAAATTGAATCACCATCGATCGAACGAGAATGACGAGAGAATGAATCCTTGTCGATTTTTCTAACATTTAAGCATACCGTTTACGAATTAGTGTTTATTTAAATTAAAATAAAAATTGAAAGAAAAGATAAATTTCATCAATCTACATCAGTTATCGTTACAATAAAAAGCTACTTTTATCGTCTATCTTTATATGAGAAACAAGAAAAAAACAAAAAAACAATGCATAAGAACAAAATTAGTGAAAATCAAAGGTATATCTAATTACTGTATCCAATTTACAACGTAACGTTTTAAGTAATCAAAGAATTATTATTGAATAAAGTGTCAAAATAAATTCAAAAGAAACAAAAATCGTTTAGCTCGTTTTATTTTCATCTGAACAATTTCCACGAATGTGGCTCGTTATCGGAATCTCTCTTTTACCAGCCAAAATAATGTAGACATATTTATGTAAGCGACATAAATAACAAGTCGTCGAGCGGTGGAATCAAGAGCAATTTTTCTTACAGCTTTTATGAGCGAGTCCGCGCTCTACTCACATCAAATTGCCTGGTATTTATTTTAAGAAAAAAATTTATTGCGGTTTTGTCTTTCGACAGCCCGTGATCGCTTGTCTGATTGGAAATATCAAGTAGGTGGAGTCGGCTCTTATATGTCATACAGTTATTTTTATTTTCTTTCAATTTTTCGTCCGTTGATTTCACTCTAGATTTTATTATTTTTACGTGATTATTTTTCGAACGAGCTCCGCCTTCTCAGCCAGAATCCTTTTGAAATGATTTGTCTGCAGCTGAATTTGACTTTCGAGAAAAACCAAAAACTATACGAAATATAGAAATCCTGTCACCATAAAATTGTCTGCTTCACAAAAGCCGTAAGTGTAAGTAGAAAATGGATCGGAGAAAAGCTTAAAGTGAACGCAATGCTCGAACATTATGGTAAGTTTTCGGATTTCAATGAATGCTGACGATCGGACTTGAATTACAATTTGCTGGGGTGTCCCGTATGAAGAAGGATTCGTTGAGATATCTCGACACCAGACCAACAAATAAATGCTTCACTTTGGCTTACCACCGTCTCTATGACAGCAAAACAATAAAAACCACCATGCACGAGCTATGGATTTCTCATGTTCCGTTCATGTAATTCGGTTTTGTGCTGAAATTCGATCGTTGCATTCAAAGTGATCTGAGTACATGATAAACCCACAAGAGAACAACGAGAACATAAAATGAGTGTACGCATTGTAAATGCACAGGCGATGCACTTGCCACAGTGGTAGATATCATTGCAAGAGACTAACCAAATAAAGTCAGAACATGTTCAGAGAATACCATTACCGTATAGCCATCACATAGCACTGCAGTAGAGCAAGAACAATTCACTGGCAGTTGTGTGCAAAAGCCATATGATACACGAGATAAGCGCATATTGGCTTCATTTGACGTTGGAATGTTTGCAATTTGTCTCAGCGTCGAAAGAGCAGAGAAAAAGGAGTGAGAGAAAGAAAGAGTAAGAGAAGGAGAATTGCATTTGCTCCGGTACCGTGTGTGTGTGTGTGTGTGTGTGTGAAGTTTTGAAACTTTTCCGACCGTAAAGCGCATACAGTTCTCGGGCTATATTCGTATGAATTGCGTGTATGTGGCTTGCATTTAATAGATTGCAAATCTAACAGAGCAGTGAAAAAAAAAGTAAGCAATAAAAGCCAAGGCACTGCCATGTGCTTGTGCATGGTATGCACTGTGCACACTGCACATATATGTATGTGACTGGGTACCATATCGGATGAAGAGGAATACGGTTTACGCAATGCATTGAATTCGCAATTCTCACTAGCCATTATTGAAGTTATGCATCCGACAACGATTTACGATAATAGGATTTGTTGCGCCGCAATGTACAATGTTTTTTAATTTGAGGAGAACGAGAACTTTTCTAGCAGCGCGATAATACACACATACACACACTAATACGGGCACAAAAGGCAAAAACACTCAGCACCATACACAAAACATACCACTTTTCCAAATGGAGTCGAAACAAGTTCCGTTCTCGATTCGTCCATGAATATGGTGAGGTGACTCTTCGTAGTGGCAAAAATTAACTTTTGATTGAAAATGTGCAAAGAACCATAAACGAGAACGGACCCAAACTGAAATGCACCATATGCTTTCATTGCGTACATAAAATCTGCATCAAATACCATATACACAGCGAATGCAATTTTCATCGGGTCGGTTGTAAAATATATTGGAATACACAGCAAGGAAAACACATTAGATGGAAAATGCAAAAGTGCCGGAAAAAAAATTGGGTGCATTATATGTAAGAGTGTGTGTGTATCTTCATCAGTGGGGTTGTTCCATTCATTCATTCATTCGCCTCTTTCCTATACGATTCACGGCAAATGATAAGAATCCTAGAAACGTATCACTGCTAAAATACAATAAAAACTTTTTTCAACAATACAATTTTCTAGCTTATGTTTCTCAAAATATTACCAATTTATCGGCAAAGTGACAGCAAATCACTACGAAACAATATAGTGTTTCGAATGAATTGAAATTTCTAAAAAATACGCTTGATTCATGAGTTTTCGAAGGGATCAGTCCTTGTAAAGATAGATAAACAGTACATTTGATTGGATACGTATGTCTTTTCAAATGGCATTCCATATCAATACGGGCGAAGAAATGCGAAAAAGTCCAGAGGCGCCAATTTCATTTGCTGCAAATACGCCTCGGTGTGAAAACAATCATGAAAAGGTTAAATGATTAGGCCGATATTTTGCGCATATATACATACATAAAAATTGAGTTGGTTTCCTAGTTGAACATAATCAAATCAAAGAATCAAATATGGGGCTGACACATGCAATCCGAAACGGAAACTTCTTTGGTTAGACAATTATCTATCGCCAAACCGTTGTTGAACTCGATTCGGGGAAACTGGAATTTGAATGAATGCTAACATGTATGCGTCGAATTTGTTAAAATCCACTCCCATGGAGAACAAACGAAATCGCAACTTGTCAAGTACAATGAAATGGCATTATCTGAACTGATTGTGTGCCTTCAAGAACTTGGCCACTGAAAATTTATAGAGATTTTTTTGTTGTTGTGGAAATATACTATCAAATGCTTACATACAAGCGATAAAAAAGAGCAAAACGAATGGATGGAAGCTATTCCGATTCATGTTCAAGGGATAAAATAAATCACCGGCCAAAGTGAATTGCAGTTTCCATTTGGTGTTGTTCAAATTTTTTTTCTTTCGAGTTTTTGTTTTTGCGTATTTGCATTAAAAACTGATTAACGTTCCGGCCAAAATTTATATGAACGCATTAAATTATTTTGTCGTATCAGCTATTCCATGCGGATTTTTCCATTAAAGTCCATTTTTCGTGCATCGCACACAGACAGTATGGCCTCATTCGTTGTAATTCTCGCTAAAACGAAACCGCCCCGGAATTTAAGATCTTCATAAATCTGCCACAAATGAACTCACTTTTAAGCGTTCTCCATTCGAAGGAGTTTCGTATAAATAAATGCGAACGAACTATTTCAACCAACAATTGTATTCTTCAAACGCACGGCATTTTGTACTGACGATTTATGTCCAACAATAGTCAATGTGTGTCTAGTTCATGGAAATCCAACTGGAATTATCATCATCGAGCGAATACTGTATTTTAAAATATTCAAAATTAACATGATTAACATGATTTTCTGTTGAAAATAGTTAGCTAAGCACTTTGTCCCAAATATTGGAAATTCGTTGCATTTTTCATTGCGCCGCGCGCTCTCAGATTTCCATTCTAAATATTAGTCTCCAACAATGCAAACAATGTTTCCAATGAAGCGAAATTGTTCATTTTATGTTGTTAAAAAGAAATGAACGAACGAACGAACGAATAAAAAAAAACGATCCCCGCTCACCATTCAATCATTTTCCAAAGTACCCCAAAAATTAATCGATAAATTGGTGTTATGGCACCAATGCATTTTATCTATTGCATATTTCATTATGACGTGCTGTTTGTTTAGACAAATGACTGAAATCCTAATTAAAATTTCACGTTGCATGGGCAAACAGGCGACGTAGACGTCACGTCCATATTGCGATATAGCTCTATTCGGAACTTTGAAGAAAAAAAATGTAATTGCTTTGCTCTTATTGCTCCCCCGCACAATTTAATTGCCGCGTATTGAGGTCCTGTATGAGTTGTCATTCAGTTGAGTCGGATCCATTTCAAAACACCCAAAAGTCCATTCGATTTGTCTTTTGTTGTGGTGTGGCGGTGCGACGATTAACAAATGTGAACGAATGAATGATGAGAAAAATCGAAATGAATTAACATGCGACTATTTATTTTCCACCTAAAGTGGAAGTAAAACGAACTAGGATACTCCATGCCCTGCTCCTAATTATTATTGTGCCATAGAAAATGGTTTTGTAATTGTAATTACTGAATGGTGATTTCGAACATAAACAAAATGCAACTCATGTCAAAATGAGCGAAATGAGCGTATGTGTTATTGGCAATTTGCTGCTAAATAATTCATTGTTTGTGTAGAGGAATCGCGGCGGCGGCAGCAGTGGCACATGTTTCACGGGAGATTCAACCGGTTTATGCTTAATTAAAATTTTCCTCTCATAATTTTGAGCTATGCTCGCCGACAGTTTATGTGGCACATAGACGGTTTTCATAATTTTTGTTGTTTTCTATGCCGTTTTTTTTCCCTTTCATACGGTCAGTATCGAAAAGCAGTAGCGAACTAGTGTGAATCGAGAAAAAAATCGTGACATTTTGCGCTCAATTGAAAATCGGCACGAATCAGCAAACGTTATAGCGAAACAGCGAAAATGCACAATAATTTATTCAACGCCACCATGTGATTGTCGTGACATTTTCCCCAGCGAATAGCAACTTCAATAATAATTTTAATTGCAATATTTATAATATTAAAAAAAAAAACATAAAAGACCGAAACAGAGGAAATCACTAGAGGTAAATTGGACGATTAGCCGCATGAACAACACTATGCTGTGTAATAATGCGTGCTCAACAGAAGTCTCAATCGCTATTCAAATCATCTTGGAAAAAAAATCAAAGGCAAAATATTGATTTCACGTGACGAAATTCAGTCGAATCGACAACAACAACGCTACAGGAATTCACTCGAACAGAATTGAGTGGGTGTTGTTGGCTTAATGAAGTTTTAGCCGTAAGCTAAAAACGGGATATGTGACGCATATTGAATTGTATATGCCCACATTAAATTGCATTAAGGTCAATGCGAATCACCGAAATTCGATTTCTGGTTGTTATTGTGATCGGCTTAATTGAA